TGCTTTATGGCTAAGTGGCCTTATAAAGAGTCAAGACAAAAATTGACAATAGAAAAAGGAATTATATGTAATGGAGATATCATAGTACCTCCACAGTCTCTGAGCAAAGAAGTAATTAATAGTATACCTGATAATATACATGGAAGTATATTGGCTACAAAAATGAGGTTAAAGTTGCAAGCATGGTGGTCAGGTTATTCAAGAGATGTGGAAGGGTGTGTTAAAAAATGTCCAAAGTGTGTAGAAATAAAGAAATTTAAGCAAACTAAAATTCACTCTTGGCCAAAGGGAATAGAGCCATGGACATGAGTACATATGGATCATGCCTGCATTAAAGGTATAGGATTATTTCTGATATTTGTTGACTTGTATTCAGGTTAGCCTGAAGTTTATTAAAGTCACAGATAGAAAAGCCACTACTGTTGAGGATAGTGTTTTTGAGAAATGGAGTTCCAAAAATTTTAGTCTCCAACAGTGCACACGAGTTTTTGTGCATAGTTGAAACATATTGGTTGTATTCCATACAAAACACCACCTTACCAATCACAGTCAAATGGAATTGCAGAGAGAATGGTTCAAATGGTAAAAACGGAATTGAAGCATTCTCTCCAGTGGATTGTAATGTAGAGAGTTATTTACCCAGACTTTTAAGTTATAAAGCTATTTTGAATGCAGGCAGAAGACAAAGCTCATCTGCATTGATGGGAAGACAAATAAGATCTTCGATTGCCATGTCATTTGCAATGAATGAAAGTGTGTGGCACAGAAAGGACAAGAATTCAAGTCCTGAAAAGGTGAATTTTGTGGTGCAAAAGGGATTTAACACAGTTGTGTTAACAAAGAACAGACATTGGCATACTGGCTCATGAAGACCAATTTAGAGCCACAAGAGAGCATTACATTATGGAAAAAGAGGAGGAGAAAGGAAGCAGAAGAAGAGACAGTGCAAGAAAGGATGAATGAATCCAGTATTAAGAGTGATCAGGAAGACCACCAGAGATATGAAAGTGAAGAACAGAAGTGGAAGGAGAGAATGAGTGTATTTAGTAGTAGTGAGGAACAATCTGGGGATGAGAGTGACCGGAGATATTATAAGGATTCAAATAAGGAGAATCAGTTAAGACATAGATCTCATATAAAAAGAAATAAAGAGACTCACTTAGATGGATTATGTCTCTCAGGGTTGTTCGTAGAAGTCAAAGATCAACTAATGGTATAAAACCTCTTAGGTTCAGGGAGGTGTAGTGGTATGTAAATGAAGTATTGTATAAAAGGCAGTGTTGCTATAAATATGGGAGAGTTATCTTCTCTTGATGAGACTACATCTGTCAGAGAGAATACCTATTATAACAGTAATCATTTCTTCTGAATAGAAATTGATAACAAAAATTGATCACAACTTGAAACTGATTAGTAGTGTTGATATCTTCTTCAGAAATGTGACTAAGTGAAATCAGTTTCAATGTAGGTTGAGAGTTAACATGTTACAGTTATCTGTCTGTCATGAAATTTTGAGCAATTTTTGAATTGTCTTGGACCATCCACAACTTGCCATAAAGCTTTCACTTTTGAACCTTTGGGTTACCTAATAAACTTTATTTTAATTTGTTTGGCAAATATGGACAGCTACATCCATAGGTTTTAAACAATCTTTCGGCTTATGGCCACATCATGTTAAAACATCAGTTCCCATACAGTCACCAATTAAGCAAGGTCAAGCCTGGTCAGTACCTAGATGGGTGACTGCTTGGGAATACCAGGTGCTGTAAGCTTGGCTGTGTAGGTGGTCTAAAGTATAATGGCTCAGAATTGTTGATCGGAGTTAATTGAGTTTCAAATCTTGTTGGGTTCATTATATACACTTACACACAAAAAACCTTGGGAAAGGTATGAATCCACCTCTTGACCCCCTAGCTATGGGTTAAGTAGGGCTTGTCACTAAAACCATTATTATCTTAACAAAATTTATGTATTCTTACAATCTACAAATATTTCTTGGCTTTAAATAACCTGCAAAGAAAGCTATAGAAAACAAGTCAATCAAAAATGCCTTTCCATATTTTTCATTACACTGCTTCTATTACTAGCTACTTTTGTAGACATTAAAGGATTTACACTTCAAGTACAAGCTTTAAATTTTATATTACCATTTACAGACCAAAAGCTCTTCTAATATCTACAGATTATTGTCTATTGTTAAATCTCTGTAACATTTCTAATTTATTTTTTGGTTCTACTTAAATTGTTTGGTCCATTTTTATAAAAAAATAAAGGAAAAATTTTTTGGGAAATAATTTTTATAGATTAGCATTTTTGTAATCAAAATATTTTTTTTTTTTTTTTTAATCAATTTAAAGTGGGGTTCCTGTTTATAATATCTATATAGTGTAAAATCAATCCCTGACTTCTACAGAGTTATTTGTCTTCAGCTATGTCATTTAGCTGCTATGTAAAAATGTCAAGTTTGAAATTGTGCTAACATTATTGCATATTTTCATTTTAATTTTCTGATTATTTTTTTTAACCATTTTTTAAAACTTTTTTTCCTATGGGACTTTTGTTAGAGGCACATGCACAAATTATCATAAATAAAGAATAAACGGATACATAATTTTTTTAACTCGTGTAAATTTTTGTTCTTTAACTAAAAATGTACATATTGATTTATAATTCTTTGTGTAACACTATACCATAAAAAAAAGTTTGCCTTTATTTTGCAAAACAGGTAAGTCCAATAACTCTGTAAATGTGAAGGACTGATTTGACATTGTATCAATATCTTAAAAAGGAACCCACCTTCTAAATCAATAAAAACTTTTTTTTTTTTTTTTTATTCTGACAAATGTCACAGCTTAAAGGTCTAAAGAATACTAATCTCCAAAAATGTTTCCTTATTTCTTTTTTACAAGTGGGACCAATCTATCTAAGTAGTGCCTAGTTTCTGATATTACAATTTTTCTGTTTTTTGTGCTTACATATTGCAAAAGGAAAAAACAAAGGATAAATATTCATAACTACTATCACGTAGTTTAAAACCAAACAATAACTATTTATGGCACAGTAGCATTCACTGAATGCATTCATACTGCACCGTTTGTTGCCCTGTGTCCATACACTTTATGAATTTTTATTTTGCAGTATTTTTTTTTTTGTCATGAACATTATAATGAAGCAACATTAAGTGTACTTACTACTGTAGTGTTATGTAAGATGTGGATTCCCCCAAGACCATCCTGCTTGAAAACACATGGAGTCTCCCAAGACCATTTTTCTTGCAAGAGGTGGGTTTCGCCCAAGACCGTTTTTCTTGCAAGAGGTTTTCATGCAAGACCGTTTTTTCTTGCAAGAGGTGGGTTTCGCCTAAGACCGTTTTGCTTGCAAAGAGGTGGGTTCCAAGACCGGTTGGAGGTGGGTTTCGCCAAGACCGCTTTTGCTTGCAAGAGGTGGGTTTCGCCGTTTTTTTGCTTGCAAGAGGTGGGTTTCGCCCAAGACCGTTTTGCTTGCAAGAGGTGGGTTTCGCCCAAGACCGTTTTGCTTGCAAGAGGTGGGTTTCGCCCAAGACCGTTTTGCTTGCAAGAGGTGGGTTTCGCCCAAGACCGTTTTGCTTGCAAGAGGTGGGTTTAAGGGTTTTGCTTGCAAGAGGTGGGTTTAAGCCAAGACCGTTTTTTTTTGCAAGAGGTGGGTTTAACTTAAGACCGTTTTTTCCAAGACAGGTTTTTGACCAAAGACCGGGTTTGACCGCTTTTTTTGCAAGAGGTGGGTTTCGCCTAAGACCGTTTTTGCTTGCAAGAGGTGGGTTTAGGGCCAAGACCGCCTTGCAAGAGGTGGAGTTTTGACCGCTTTTGCAAGAGGTGGGGTTTAAGCCAAGACCCGTTTTGCTTGCAAGAGGTGGGTTTCAGCCAAGACCGCTTTTGCTTGCAAAGAGGTGGGTTTCGCCCAAGACCGCTTTTGCTTGCAAGGTGGGTTTTAACCAAGACCGTTTTGCTTGCAAGAGGTGGGTTTCGCCCAAGACCGCTTTTGTTTGCAAGAGGTGGGTTTACCGCTTTGGGTTTCGCCCAAGACCGCTTTTGCAAGAGGTGGGTTTAACCCAAGACCGTTTTGCTTGCAAGAGGTGGGTTTCATAAGACCGCTTTTGCTTGCAAGAGGTGGGTTTCAACCAAGACCGTTTTGCTTGCAAGAGGTGGTTTTTTTGCTTGCAAGAGGTGGGTTTCACCAAGACCGTTTTGCTTGCAAGAGGTGGGTTTCGATTTCTAAGGGTTTGCTTGCAAGAGGTGGGTTTCCTAAGACCGCTTTTGCTTGCAAGAGGTGGGTTTATTAAGACCGTTTTGCTTGCAAGAGGTGGGTTTCCCAAGACCGCTTTTGCTTTGCAAGAGGTGGGTTTCAAAGACCGTTTTGCTTGCAAGAGGTGGGTTTAAGCCCAAGACCGCTTTTGCTTGCAAGAGGTGGGTTTAAAGACCGCTTTTGCTTGCAGACTGTTTAAAAGACAATATAGAGCAAGGACAAGTTACAACATTTGAAGCTTAAATTATCAAGTATATTGATAGGAAATAGTAATACAGACTTAATTTGTTTAGGTTAGTCTTGTCAAGTGCAGGTTTTGTGTACATTAAGGAATTTTTAGCTTGCATTCATTTATCATGAATTTTTATGTCAGATTTCCCCACTTCCTCAACTCTTTGTCTTATCAGAGAAGTATCAAAAGCTTTGTTTGTTATAAAACTCTAAAAAGGGGTGACCTTTGGGGTCATTTACAGTTGAGCATTTTACATTTTGACAATTCCTTGTCGTTATTTTTTAGTTCATTTTTTTTTTTTTTTTTTTTTTTTTTTCTTTTTTTTATCATTTTTTGTATTTTTGCTCCCTTTTTAGATGGACCCACCATTTTCTTCTCACCTCAGTATCAAAACCCTACCGTGTGTTTCTCTTTACTACTTTTCAATGAGTTGTTCCTTCACTGAGGTCCGAGGTTCCTCCTGATATGTGCCCCTCATCTTTTTCAGCGTGGGTGTCGCCATATCTCCCTCTATTGGCATACAAGAAAGAACAGTATCCACCGTCTCCTAGAAGTAAGTTGTAAATCTCTCTCCTCTTTTAGTTACTGCTTGATGATATAAATGTATCCTAGTGGTTTATTTATCTCTATACTTACATACTTACTACTGCTCCTCCTGGAGTGCTTGTGATAATTACTACTACTACTACTACTACTTCTGCTGCTGCTACTACTACTATTACTATGATGATATTCTTGTCTTTTTCTTCTGCTGTTGCTGTGTTTTAACTGCAGCTGCATGCTTCTTTGTATTTTATAGTCTTCTCAGTTGTGGATGTTGTGGGGTATGAGTGAGGGTCACATGTGCATGCAAGAAATGGATGCACATAGACACACACAATTTCATATACTATATTTCCATTCCGCCCTATAAAGAGAATTTCTTATTTTCGAAAAATACTTCTCTAAATCTCATACCGAGTCTTACATACTTGGTTTTGGTTATAAGGCAAGCACCTAAACACACATGTTTGACACACTCATCCCTTGATGACCCCAGAATGAAACATGATTTAGTTATGTTCCATGCATGATACACACTTAGGTGGTCATGTATCTTTCGATACATGACCAACAAGGCAGATTTTTTCTGCAGTAGGTTGCCATTTCTTTCTGCAGTAGACCAGTTGCTATCCAAGGCTGGTCTGTCCTGCTATTTACCCATAGCTGGGGGCAGGGAGAAGAGGAGGATACATACCTTTCTCAAGGGTATTAGCATATAAGTGAATGTAATGGATTTGACTGGAATTCAAACTTGGCTCTCTGATTCCTCAATCCAAGCTGCTATCCATTAATCCTCGATTATAAATGATTAAAATAGGATTGAAAATTAAAATAATGTTAAAATAGAAAACAAAAAAAATACATATGAGACAAATGTGTAAACACTCCTATTTGACACACTAGGCTGCTGATAAACACAAAAGGAAATATTTACACTATTTACATTTTAAGACATTTTTATGTTTAACATCCTTTTTATAGATACAAATATTTAAGTAAATGCTCTGTTTATAATAAACGGTATTAAACAACATTTACTGGCCTTAAGTAAATGCTCTATTTATTATAAACAGCATTTACTTAAATATTTGTATCTATAAAAAGGATGTTAAACATAAAAATGTCTTGAAATAATTGTCAGACTTTATCCATTTCATAATGTGTGACTGTTTACATTGTTTGAACTGTTGTCCTCATCTTTATTGCCATATTCACAATGTTTCAGCCATTGTACACTCTGGCCTTCTTCAGTTGATATATGTTGGAATTTCGAACCACACCCTTTATTTAGTCCATGGTGGTAGATTGTTTTAATTCCATGTGCCATGACTTGTTTTTTTGGAGGGATATCCCAGTTTCAGTTAATTCCCTTTATTAACTCAATTCTTCAAGTTTTTGTTCCCTCTGCTGTAGACAGGTATTGAACCCACATCTCTTTGGGTCAAGTCAGTTTCTGGATCACTCAACCTACACTTTTATCCACTAAGCCATGTGCTGAGTCATGGCACATGGAATTAGAATAATCTACCCCCAAAGTTCCAACATATATCACCTGAAGAATGCTGGTGCATACAACTGCCAAAACATTGTGAATATGGCAATAAAGATGAGGACAACAGTCCAAACAATGTAAATAGTGTAAATATTTCCTTCTGTGTTTAGTGGCCTAGTGCATCAAATAGGAGTGTTTAGGCTGAAACATTGTGAATATGACAATAAAGATGAGGATAACAGTCCAAACGATGTAAATAGTGTAAAATAGGTATAATACCTTATCTCGGAAATATAGACAGACAGAAGGAAATATATATGATTATAAATTATTAAATTACTAGTGTACCCATGTTGTAAAAAATGATGGCTTATTTTTTATCATAACCTTGAAATATCTGAAAAATTTCCTACAATAAACTATGAATTTACCTTCTCTGCAGTAATGTTAATAAAACCCCTGTGTTTGTTTGAAAGTGATTGTTACTTGTAAATAAATGCTTATTATTAACGCTTCTATTTAAGTCTGTCTTCTTAGGCCTTCAGATTGAACAGGAAATATATAAATAAATACACACTGATAATTATATGGTTTAATTTAATTAATGATTTACATATCAGAAACTGTCCTGGATAAGACAATAAACTGATCAGGAAGTTTTGAGGAGCATGGAACCACATCTTAATTACTGGTGTTCCCAGATTCACTCTGACTTGGGGTGGTAGCATCTGTTAGGGTCCCAACTATGAGCAAATAGTTAATCCCTAAACTGGGGTCAAAACACTATGAAAGTGTAAAAATAGGTTTTAATGCCAACAATACATTTTTGTAAAAAATTATTACCAGCAATATATTTTTGAAGAAAAAATATTACAAGCAATACATTTTTGAAAAAAAACATATTACCAGCCAAAAAAATCTTGTTGCCATTAAATAACCCATCGAGGTTGATATGCCGTAAAACAAACCAAACAAAACCATATCAGAAACCAATTACAAACAGCTTTTGGTTTTGGTTTTTCTCTAAATATTCCCTGCCAAATTATAGGTATATGTTGTAAGCCTGGAAATGTAATACCTGCAAAAACTTATCAGAAAGATTCCTTCACAAATTCCATATATAAAATATTATCTATATACACATCGCAAAAAAACATTTGTTTTTCTTTGTGTTGCACATATACATACTGCCAAAATATATGCTATAAATATCCCCCTCTCACTATGTTATATACACATCTATTAAAAACATATCATATGTATGCATACATCACTTTTTAAAATATCTTAAAAGCAAGCAGTTAATTTTTTTTTTAACCCAACATTAATTTCTTATTAGGATAAATGTTATTTTATTTACTACATGTGTTTTAGTTGACTCCTCTGCTCTTATTTTTAGACAGTGAAATTAATGTCAATTGGTGTAGATTGAGAAATCCCACCTAAAGAAAAAGGTGCTCACTGCCTGGAATCAGAACCTGTATATCATTTTTCCATCGTGTATCTTACCAATTAGGCCACAGGATACCTTCATGATAAAACATGGTTCAATTACCCACTTAAAGAATGCACATCTCTTTATCTGCTGCTTTATTTTCCTACCCAAAATGTAAATGGGCTTATGGCCACAACACATTGAAACATTGGTTCCCATACAATCACCAAAGTTAAGCAATGTTGAGCCTGATCAGTAACTATATGGGTGATCGCTTCATAATATCAGGTGCTGTAAGCTTGGATGGACGGGTGGTGTAATGGATAATGGCATAGAATTGTTAATCAGTGATCTGAGTTCCAATTCCAGTTTGGTTTGTTATATTCACTTACATGCAAATATTATATGCAATATGCAATTAATAGTAAGTCTTGTATCACTCAAACCATTATTATCTCCCCCCACCACCCACCAAAAAATAAAAATAAATTTGCATACAAAATATTTAAATATATATATATATATATATATATATATATATATATATATATATATTTTTATCTATTTACACCTATCCATCACTTGCTCCCTTCTTATGTTCCCTTACAACAACCTCATTTAGTAACCTTCTACTTCAAGTGGCTCTTGGGACTTTTATTGAATGAACAATAGTATGTATGTATGTATGTGTGTGTGTGTGTATATATATATATATATATATATATATATAGCACATTGACACCTATATGGGTCATTTTTGCAATGTCTCTCATGATTACAAGTCCCGTAACTCATTATGGTCATAGGAGCAGCACATGTCTGCAGCCACAGTAGAAGTGGTGTGTCTTGGGCAAGATAGCCTGACAGAGCCCAGCGGTGAGATGAATTCATACCTTTGCCAAGGGTATTAACACATAAGTGAATGTAATGAATTTGAGCTTGGTTCTCCGATTCTTCAAGCCAAGCTGCAATCTATTACTCCATCATGCCTCTATAAAATGTCTCTCTATCAATAAAATCAGATATTGCCTTTTTGACTTTATCATCATCATCTCTTTTTATTTTCTTTTTCATTTCTATCTTTATCAAATCTACAATAATCATGTTTAAAATTTATTCTATTCTAAGCATAAGAATAACCCTTGTTCTCAGCCTTTTGTGTGCTTATAAAATCCCTACTCTGGATAGTATAAATACCTAAGTTTTTTTTTTGTGTGTGTGTTTTTTTTTTTTTTTTTTGTTTTTTTCATTTAATCTATTTTAGGTTATCCTTTTTACTAACTTAGTTGTTAGCTGAACATCTTTTTGTCTCCTTAATTTCTTTACCAATTAAGCCACGGGATACTATCATGATAATTCTTAATTATTAAAAATAACAAAAAACAACTATTTTGAAGTCATTTCATATGTGTCATTCACCAATGATCTCATATGATCACTGAAGTTGAGCAATGGTGAGTCAAGTTAGTAACTAGATGGGTGACCACTTGGGAATACCAGATGCAATAAACTTGCATGTGTGTGTAATGGATAATGGCTCGGAATTGGAAATTAGAGATCTGAGTTCTAATTCCAGTTAAGTTTGTTGTATTCACTTACACACAAATACCCTTAGGAAAGATATGAATCTACCACTTCTCCCTCCAGCTATGGATTAATTAGTAGGATTTTTATAAGTAAAATCATCACTATCTCCACAAAATAATTCCTACAGCTATGTTAGGCTGACAATATTTGTAGTATCATGCCAAAATAAAATTTGTACTCACCATATGATCAAGGGAACCAGGTTCATGGTTGACCTGTGTTGAACCTCCTGGCTGCTGAATGCAGTATCATGTAACCTCACATCTGCATGCTGGCTTGCAAGTGCAAGAACAAGCTGAATTACAGAGAGAGAGATATATTAATACCTACCCAAGCACTGAGTGGGCTGATAGTCTCATAGATGAGAATGTAAGGTTCACAATTTGGGTAAGGGTTCCATGGGGCCACACATACAGGAGTGAAATAAAATGTAATGTCAAATATAAAAGATTCAATATCTGTCTATATCTCTGAGATGAGACAAGGCATTATGATT